AAAACAGAGATCTGAAAACAAATAGCTTTCTCATGCTTATCACATTATACAGTAATATATTTTGTCAAAATTCAAATCTAATTATGTTTCTTTTTATAACTTTTGTTCTTTAGATAATGGGATTAAAAAACAGAGAACAAACAGAATCAATAAATCTGAACAAAGAAACTGAAGGATCTTGTAGTAACAGAAGTGATAACAGTTCAGATAGACTTGATATCACAACTGCTCCACCATCAAACGACAGTACATTAACCGGAAGCCACCAGCCGCCGCCGCAAACAATCGGTCGACATTTCTTTCCACCGTCGCCAGCCGCCGCAACGACCACGACCACGACCATGCAGTTCTTTCATAACTCATCTACTGGACAAAGTATGGTTAAAGAAGAGAACAGTATCAGCAACATGTTATGTGCAATGGATGACCAATCTGGTTTTTGGCCATGGCTTGATCAGCAACAGTACAATTGAAAAATTGGTCGACCTGTTATTTTTGTTTTTATTTTTAAAAAATTATATATATTTTTTTTGTGTTTTTGAATTTTGATCCAGAAGTACCCATGCATGTTTTTCAAAAACTTGGAAAATCTATCATTACTTTCATTATCTCACTTTGAAATCTGCAATCAAACACCACTGAGTTTTTTTATTTAGTAATGAGATGTATAAAATTGGGTAAAAGTCATCTTATTATATATAAAAATATATCATTGTTGTGACCCATTTTTTTATGACTATATATTAAAAATTTATATTATAATTGGTTAGTCGTGGGTACTGGCACCATGTGGTCGTAGTCGTCATATTCAGAAGTGGGAAGAAATAAATGGAAAACACAAATGAAAAGGACATTTTTCCATGAAAACAAATTATTATTTTTGTTTAAATCCATGAAATAAATTCTGCATATGTCATGATTTGGTCGAAACGAGTTAAAAGACCAAAAAATGATGGGAGAAAATCTAAAGGAGATAAATTTTGCAATCACGAGACCTTACAAAAGACGTACGATATTTTTAGTCTAAAGGATGCAGCAGACCATCAATTTCATAACCCTTTTTCTACTTCTGCTTCGAGTTACCAATATTATTAATTTCAATGTGTGCTTTTAAAAACATCTTATATCTCATATCTTTGCCCGCAAATTATATGGGTTAATTTGTTAAATAATCAAAATCTAGAAGTTGTTCAAAAATAAAATTGTTAATTACTGGAAAAAAACAAATTTCTGGTTCGACAAAAAACTGCATTTATTCTCACATATAAATATTGTTATTTCGTTAAATAACATGTTATCAAATCAAATTTGCAAAAATAACATTTACAAATACATATATATGGATGTGTGTATTATTAG